CGCACTTCTCAGCCTACTATGCAAGGCCCGATTTGCCTAATAAGCCAAGTTTTCCTGAATTAATATATTTTCTCTAATTTTTTTCTTACGAAATGATAAAGCTACCCATTTCATTATGTATGAGGTCAATTTTTTTTATTGGATTTAAAATTAACGTAGATATATGACCAATCCTAACCAACCCTACCTAACCTAACCTAACCTATCTTTATAGGTTAGGTTAGGTTAGGTAGCCGACAAAGTTAGGTTAGGTTAGGTTAGGTAGGTTAGGTTGTCGAAAAACAATTAATTCATGAAAACTTGGCTTATTAGGCAAATCGGGCCTTGCATAGCAGGCCGAGTACGACGTTCTGGCTACTAGGTACGACATATATACATATATATATATATATATATATATATATATATATATATATATATATATATATATATATATATATATATATATATATATATATATATATATATATATATATATATATATATATATATATATATATTATTAAATATGACCGAAAAAGTAAGATTAATAATTCTAACACGAATTTTCTCAATCTTTCGTACATTACGCTTCACTGTTGGAGGTAAATCAAAAATCACTTCTCCAAAATTCATTTTTATTTCTAGTCTGACGCGACACGGGCGCGTTTCGTAAAACTTATTACATTTTCAAAGACTTCACAAATACACAACTGATTAGAACTTACGTATCTCTGAGTTTATATCTACATTTGAGTGAGGTGGGAAGGGTGATGTGGCATTAGAACAAGATGGGATATTAATAGGGTATTAAAAGTATCAACACAAGACAGAACAGAAACAATGGGTATTGAATAGAAGTGTTTGTAGAAAGCCTATTGGTCCATATTTCTTGATGCTTCTATATTGGAGTGGAGTCTTGAGGTGGGTAGAATATAGTTGTGCAATAATTGGCTGTTGATTGCTGGTGTTGACTTCTTGATGTGTAGTGCCTCGCAAACGTCAAGCCGCCTGCTATCGCTGTATCTATCGATGATTTCTGTGTTGTTTACTAGGATTTCTCTGGCGATGGTTTGGTTATGGGAAGAGATTATATGTTCCTTAATGGAGCCCTGTTGCTTATGCATCGTTAAACGCCTAGAAAGAGATGTTGTCTTGCCTATATACTGGGTTTTTTGGAGCTTACAGTCCCCAAGTGGGCATTTGAAGGCATAGACGACGTTAGTCTCTTTTAAAGCGTTCTGTTTTGTGTCTGGAGAGTTTCTCATGAGTAGGCTGGCCGTTTTTCTGGTTTTATAGTAAATCGTCAGTTGTATCCTCTGATTTTTGTCTGTAGGGATAACGTTTCTATTAACAATATCTTTCAGGACCCTTTCCTCCGTTTTATGAGCTGTGGAAAAGAAGAAACCGGCCATATACTGCAGGTATGTTGACGACATTTTTACACAGGTACCTGATGTCAGACATCTGCAGGAGCTGAAGGAGGCATTTGAGCAGAGTTCCGTGCTGCGTTTCACTTACGAGACGGAAAAGGATGGGAAGCTGCCTTTTCTAGATGTAACAGTCATGGAAAAGGGCGGAGGTTTCCACACTGCAGTCTACACTAAGGAAACAAACATAGGAATGTGCCTAAATGCCAACAGCGACTGCCCTGACAGGTACAAGAGGAGTGTTGTTAACGCATACGTCGACCGTGCTCTCAGCCACAGCTCAGAATGGAAGCAAGTCGACGAAGAACTCTGTAGGGTAAGGCAGGTACTAGTCAATAACGGCTTCTCCAATGGTTTCATCGAAGACATCATAAGAAGGAAAGTGAAAAGCCATGCAACCTCTGAAGAGACAACTAACACAACACCTATACCCCCTATTAGACTATTTTACAGGAACTTCTTTTCCACAGCTCATAAAACGGAGGAAAGGGTCCTGAAAGATATTGTTAATAGAAACGTTATCCCTACAGACAAAAATCAGAGGATACAACTGACGATTTACTATAAAACCAGAAAAACGGCCAGCCTACTCATGAGAAACTCTCCAGACACAAAACAGAACGCTTTAAAAGAGACTAACGTCGTCTATGCCTTCAAATGCCCACTTGGGGACTGTAAGCTCCAAAAAACCCAGTATATAGGCAAGACAACAACATCTCTTTCTAGGCGTTTAACGATGCATAAGCAACAGGGCTCCATTAAGGAACATATAATCTCTTCCCATAACCAAACCATCGCCAGAGAAATCCTAGTAAACAACACAGAAATCATCGATAGATACAGCGATAGCAGGCGGCTTGACGTTTGCGAGGCACTACACATCAAGAAGTCAACACCAGCAATCAACAGCCAATTATTGCACAACTATATTCTACCCACCTCAAGACTCCACTCCAATATAGAAGCATCAAGAAATATGGACCAATAGGCTTTCTACAAACACTTCTATTCAATACCCATTGTTTCTGTTCTGTCTTGTGTTGATACTTTTAATACCCTATTAATATCCCATCTTGTTCTAATGCCACATCACCCTTCCCACCTCACTCAAATGTAGATATAAACTCAGAGATACGTAAGTTCTAATCAGTTGTGTATTTGTGAAGTCTTTGAAAATGTAATAAGTTTTACGAAACGCGCCCGTGTCGCGTCAGACTAGAAATAAAAATGAATTTTGGAGAAGTGATTTTTGATTTACCTCCAACAGTGAAGCGTAATGTACGAAAGATTGAGAAAATTCGTGTTAGAATTATTAATCTTACTTTTTCGGTCATATTTAATAATATATGTCTACAGGAAAGACTGCTACCAAAATATACTAATATATATATATATATATATATATATATATATATATATATATATATATATATATATATATATATATATATATATATATATATATATATATATATATATTTTTATATATATATATATATATATATATATATATATATATATATATATATATATATATATATATATATATATATATATACATACATATATATATATATATGGGTACCACCACTGGTTTAATTAAAGGGACCCACATCTTCGAAGAAGAAAATAAATAGTGTTCAGAGAAGACCTTGTGGATTCTCTGAACTTAAGGTATAAGGTATAAGGTATATAAGGTATTAGGTATCGCTTAAGGTATACCTTGAGGATTCTCACGTTCATCAGTACTGTACATCGTGCGTTATTCATCAGCTCCAGAACCGAGGTGGTTAGCCGACTAAGGGCAGGGGCCGGGTTGTCTGGTGGCAGTAATCAGTACTACAAGTTTCAAGCTAGTATGTGAATTGTTTGTGGAGCTATTTGGTAGTTTTGAGGCTTCTTCTCCAATTATCTGTAAAGCTTCACTGACTTTCAGGAGGCTATTCTGGTGGGGAGGCAGATTGTCACGTGAATACCACTTCCATGCCATTTCATAAGGGGTCTCATGAGTTTTTCACATCCAGCATGACGGATGTGAAAAAACAGCATTTAAATTTTCTTTTAAAATTAAAAAGCAGCATTTCAATTTATTTATAAAGAAAAAATTACAAACGCTGTACTTACGCTGGGTTTCGTTGCGGTCTCAAGCAAACACAGTAAAACTTGCTCCCAAAGTCAATATAAAGGTCATCTCCAACTACATGGAAGATGGTGCCCTCGACCACTTTGCCTTGAGGATCACCCAACTGTAAATTAAACAATTAATTACAAATAAAGCGTCGAATGGATCAAAATGTCTCTTCCTGTTCACTACATCAGTGGTTCTCCTTAGCCTAAGCACCGGACCTTACCAGGCCACTGCTAGTATATCAGGCTTCGAGCCCCACAAGATCAAAACCTTACAAATTGTTTAGTCCCAAAAATATTGGGTAGTGTTCAGTGGAGGGATACATGGGAAAACAACATCCAAATCTTACCCCCTGTAAACTTGGGACTCAACTCCTGGGGAAGCAAAGATGTGGCCAAAGGCATAAAACCCAGAGGAAACCCTTAAAAAACACTGAAAAACACACCTGTGGTACATCTATTCAGAGCCATGAAAGCATACCCAAATAATAAATGAACACCCCCTAAAGCCAAAGGGAAGGAAAAAATAACGACCGAGGATGGAGTGAAGGAATGGTGCTCAATTACTGCATAATAAATTGAGATTTGCTCACCCAGTGAGCTCCCTGCACCTTATTTAGGGGTTGACAATTTGCAAGGTTACTTATCCTTCTGGGGCTCAAAGCAGCTCAGAGCCTGGTGACTCTGGTGACAACTAGCAGTGACCAGGAAGGTCTAGTGTACTCACCTAGTTGTGCTTGCAGGGCTCTAAGAGCCAACTTTGGCTCTTGGGTCTCGCCTCTCAACTGTTAATCAATCTTATTTTAGTTAATCAATCAATTCTAATTTAGGTTTAGGAATTAGAAACAACATACCTGCATGAGTTTAGAATTCCTCAGAAGGGTAACAAATGACTTGGGAGGTTGGACATCTCTCTCATCCCCAGAAGGTCTAGTGTCCTGAGTATATTTTGCAAAAGCTTTCGCAAACCCGCCAGATTCAATCTTTACATTATCTTTTGATATATCGTTGGTACTTTGACCAGACTCTCCAGTAGGAACCGATGAACAATATCTGCCGATAAAAGGAGTACAGACTCGGGATGTCAGGAATACACCACTCCGTCTTATGGAGGCCGCTATTGTTGTTATGATCTGTGTACCTCAGGAGTTAAACGAGGATATCTTGCTAAATAAAATATTCCTGAAAATTATTTACATTTTACTTAGTTATTATAAAATTTTATTATAACTGTATTCATTTGTTATTTATTTAAATTGATCTTTGATAATTAACGTATTTTTTGCAAAGTGTTAGTTTTAAGTATAGGTGCTCATATAACACCACCGTACATTATAAGTACATAGATAAACCATTTCAAGTACCTTATTGAACCTATAAAGCCAAATCCAGGATCTTATAGAGATGAGTTGACCTCGCTACTTGCTCCTGTAAACTTGAGAGTTGTGTTTAGGTTGGCCACTTATGGCTTGCTACTGTGATACAAACTCGACCCAGTCAGTTGAAGGAATGGCTTCACATAATGCTGAAAGCTGTTTAGAATTTTTCAAGCAAATAGGTCGATTAAAGGTAAGATTGACGATTTCTTAGTATTGGATAGGTTAAGAAAGCCATACCCAATATGTGACAAATTTAGTCCTAATATGATACAATTTACTTGATTTAACAGTCGAGTACTAATCCATTCAACAGCAATTCCAAGATGATAGGGTCGTCTCAGGAAGACTTGTTCAAGGTCTGTGAACATTCTAAAATGTTCATTGCAGAGTACCCTATGTGTTACAGGAAGGTAGTCCTTGAAGTCTACCTGAGGCAACCAGACAGGTGTTTGTGATGGTGTGTCATCACTGTTTGAATCTCAGAAATCCGCACAAAACTTATTGTTTCTTTTTGCCCACACCCAACTACTGTATTCACTTATTCTCTCCCCCTAGTTTTGCAGTTTGCTTCTTTTAAATCAATGATTTGAGCAATGGTTTCTTAGCTTAGTTGCTTTGTAGATGACATAACAAATATCATACCATACAAACTCCAAATAAGTGTAAAAAAAAAAAACATACAGTACATCACAGTACTGGTTGAAGTCATGACTTGCACAAGATTTGTATTGAAGTGAGGGAGAGTTGCACAAATTATCAGCCTCACTCTCTCATCCCAGCCTATCTGGGTCCAGCAGCAGGACAAGTCGAGATGGCAGGAGATATATTAGGATGCAGTGGATGGCCAGCAATGTTCTTCGTGTTTCACTGCACACTTATTGCACTCCACAACTCTTTGCTGAGCCTTTTCCTGCCTGCTGAACCATTCTGGTGGGTTCCTCCACGTAGTCAGCCGGGTTCTGTCTTCGCATGCGTAGGTAGAGAAGCCTTAGTTCACCAAGGGCGTGAGGGGATGGTTCACCAGCTCACTTACAATAGTGCTCTTATGCCTGTGGGAGCCAGTACACTTGTTAAGTGCACTTGTTAAGTGGGCGGACTTAAGTTTGGTAACCAGCAACCGAAACCTCTAGTGTTTGGGCTCATGTGAGAGCCCCAGTCATCAGCAGTCCATAAATGTTACCCTGGCCGGGATGGCATGTCTGTGGACAGTGCTAGAGCTGATAGCATCATCTCATTGTATGGCATAGAGCCAGACAACTTTGCGCGCGAACGGCTAGGCCACAGGCGTGGGTGGACATGTGGGGCCCCACGCTCGCCGGCCACTTGAGTGGTTGTCATGGAGACAGCCACCATCTTAGAAACATCTTGAGCCGCCATGTTGGTCGGCCATCTTGGAGCTGCCCTAGGGGCTATGCTACACCGTCGCTGATTGGATGAGAGGGGTAGGCCGCTGTATGCCTTCCTCTCATTGGTTATTTCGAGAAGGACGCGGGGATAGCCGTTGTGTAGCACCATTCTGAACTCAGCCGCCACCTTGTCAAGACGCTTCCTGTACTCAATTCGGCCAAATTGAGGTATTGGGCGTCGTGGTGGCTGGACTACTCACTGCTGATGCTTCCTGCTTCACCTACGACAACGGTCGTCACAGAATCCGGCCGAAGTCGTCGCTTGGAGGGGTTTAAGACATTGTTATTCAGGGGGGTAGAGGTACAGTGATCTGGGATCGGGGAAAGTGTGCATACGAGCAGCAACAGACTCGTAGATCCCATACCAGTGATGATTAGACTTGCTAGTGCTCTGTAGCAGTCGATGGGAACGGGGAAATTCGTGTCAGTGTTAAGACAAATTTCCCAAGGTTGGTGTGAGACGCTATCGTTGTGCGGGTCACCTGGGTATGAACGCTTCACTTCACCAGGGAGTCGAGGGTGCGAAATCAGCCGTGTTGAGTGGGAGGGGTTCGAGAGTACGCCAATTTTCTGTATAAGTACTACGGTCAGGAACTACCGCCGCTTACGCCACTTGGGACGAGCCAGCCACCCGAAGCGGGGTGCCTGAGGTATGGGAAAGTGTAAAGCCGGCAGTGTGAATGAGTAAGTACCTATGTGTGTATTTTTGGTTATTAGTAGTCTCTAAAGCTTGAATTCGAGGTCAAGTGTTCCGTCACATGGTCACGCAGCACCTGTTCAGGTGGAGTGAATTGTGGGCGAGGAGATTAATCACCTGTGTTGTCATCTTGTCAGTCCAGAGGGACTTAAGTCTGGTGTACACAGACGTACAGTGTGTGTGTGTGTGTGGGTACACACGGGAACAGGATACATAGATTAGCCAAGGACTGAGAGGAAGTCCATGTAATAAGTTAATTATTTCATTGTGGTAGTCATTTTTGATCGTCCGTGGGACGGAGTGATATCATTTCCATGTGTGGTCTTGCAGGTGTGGAATTCCAACACTGAGCGCTCAGGTATGTGTAACGCCAGTGGTTCCTGGCAACGATTATTGTGGAGTATACCACAGTGTGGATTTAATTTCTTGTATTGTTCCCAGGGCCGTGACAGGTGTGATTTATATAAATATATATTGTGGTTGCAGTATTAATTAACGTAATTTTGGTGAGTTTTGGTGAGTGACGAGGCTGTCTAGAGAGACCGCCCCCGCTCTGTCGAGTAACGTAACTCTCGAGTGTTTATCGACATGCGTGATCGATAAATCACTCACCCATGTGATTTAAGGAGTGTGAGATTCTCCTTAGTGTTCCCAATAACGTTTGATAGCTGTAGGCTACATGTGTCAGCAATAATTATATATATATAATCATAGTGTCACGGTGCCCAGTGTTATTGTGTTATTTACTGTGTGGTGATTGCAATATATTGACCTATGTTCTAGGGGTCATTTGCAGCAGTAAGTAAGTAAGTGTGTGCAGTATCCTAATATTTGGAAATTAGAGTACTTGCCGTGTGTGTTATTGCAAAGGGGGTTGTTATTTGATGGTGATTGTTGCTAGTGTTGAGCAATCACCGTATGTGATTGCAGTTCAGTAAAACCATTGTGGGGCAGTGTTCTAGAGGGTTCATGTCCTGTAGGTTATTTTACTAGATTCTGCAGTATTGTCATTGCAACCGGATTGTAACGTAAATCACTGTGATTTGTTAGTGTGATTTGTCATTGTCGTGGGGGAACTCGGCTGTAGACGAGTACTTGGATACACATATATTCTCCTGGTTATCTGGTAAGACATCGAAGTCCAGTATTCAGTGAGGTGATTGCGAGGCAATTAATATAACGTAACCAAGGGAACGCCCATTGCTTTAAGAGAATTTGTTCTTTGACAATTTGAGTAACGTAGAATACGTTTGGGTTAATATACTTTCCTGTAAGCAGCTACGGTAGTCTCGAGGAGCCTAGCCATCAGCCAGATAAGAATTAGAGTATTGTCTGTCGTAATTAACGGTCAGTGGGAAGGGTAATTGACGTGTTTCAGGAAGTCAAAGTAATTAATCTCGATCCTTGTTTGATCGACTCACACGAAGGCTACATTGTTCCATTAACGTAACGTCGTTATCTGCCCGGAAGTACCGGCATTTGATTGACTCGTGGGAGGAGCAGCGTCATTTTAGAATAACGTAAACGTGGTGCTAATTACTGTTATTAGCAGCCTGAATTGGTCTGAGTATGGAAGGCTCAGACGGAATTCATACCTTAATGTAAATTGCTGAGCCAGTGTGAAAGGTTGCGTATTTTAATTGTTTAATTATTGATCTTGAGGATAGTAATTAATTACTCTAAAGGAAATCACGAGTGATTACCGTTCTCTTAGCACTTTGGACATTGTAAATCAGAGTTTACCATCGCTGAGTGATTAGTAACCGATTAACGTAAATTAACGTAACTAGTAGAGATTAATCAGCTGTCTGGTAGTACAGGGATTAATGGGATTTTCTCACTGAATGCTCGACGGGTAGAGTGTTGTTTGATTTCCGCGTTACTAGCGAAAGTTGTAGGAGTTGTTAATTTAACGTAAATGTTACCTTGTTATTAACGTAGATGTTATTGTGTTATTAACGTAAAGCAATTGTTATTGATTGTTGATCGTCCGTGGGACAGAGTGTTAACGTAAAGATTAATTTGAGGAAGGGTGCTGGAGTTGCCAGTGAACCCATTAGTTATTGTTGTCATTGAAAGACTACTGATTTGATTGCATTGCAACCGCTGTTGCAGGAGTAGACTGCACTGAGGCGTGGAACAGTTAGGAGGTTACTGGAGACGTATTTCAGAACCTACTGTGTCATTTGTTGTAATTGTGATTAAAGATCTGTTAGTTCTTGCTTGCTTGTTGATTCCTCTGTGGTCACGCTTATGTTCGAGTTAGTTCATTATGCAGTCCGAGGGGCTGGTGTCTAGCTGTCATTGATAGTGTCACAGGAAGGATTTCGAGTAACGTCATTGACATTTCTTTTTGTTTGTTGTAGTAGTTAGTACTTTATTGAATAAACTAAGTTGTTATGGTTAACACTGTTTTTTCGTTACACCCCCACACATTATTATTGTTATGCAAATGTTCTTCACACTCGACTAATAAAGTTGAGACTAATTTTCTGAGCTTTGGATCAAATATACGGCACCACACAACAATAAATTATTGTTGTGAGAGCCCGTGACCTACTCGTTAGATTCGCTTCGGCGATTGGCGAAGGTCGGCGGCCTACGTGGGGGGGATTTCAATTTTCATTGGGGTCTCGGCGTTTGCTCGCGCCTAGTCAATTGTTCATACATGGTCCCAAAGTGAGGAATGAGCTGGTTACTACACTGGTGTGTTAGCTAAGCAAGTCCTTCCTCAGGCGACCTAGTTGAATATCACGACAGGAATAAAGGTTAAAGAATAAAGAAAGTTCTTAGAAATTTTCCGAGCTAAAATTCCTTATACCAATTTCAATTTATTCCAAAACTTCTCACAAGTAACAAATAAAACTCTCACAAAGGGCCTCAAACCTTCAGCTACTTTCGCCTGGTTTTGCCTGCCAGCTGAAGTGGATTACCGGGGTGTGGCCGTTGTTGCCTGCAAACAGCTACTAAGAGCCGTAAGTGAGAGTTAGTGGAGGTGGTGGGACCAAAGCAGACAAACCACCCGAAGGTGCGACTGTTCCCTGTCAGAGGTACTACCCCTTACTGACACCCCAGATACCCGCATATATAATATTGTCATTATGAATAGTAAAATACTTTAAAAGTTGGATAGAAAAGAAGTATCAAAGATGGCATATATTTTTTTCTAGGCATACATCTGTTAATTGTAATTGATCAATATCAGTTGAAATGATAAAAATACAGTACAATAATTAATTTTACCTATTCACTCTTTTCAGCATATGAAAAGAACTGGATGGGTTCTTCGTAATGTCAGTGAACCTGAAACTATATCTGGTCACATGTACCGGATGGCCATTATATCATTTCTTCTTGACGAGAATGATAATGTGAACAGAGATAGGTGAGAGTTTGTTGTTTGCACTAATACTTTGCTTGTACACCTCTCATATGTGCTTACAAATGAGATGTATATTTATTATACTGCAGTACAGTATATGTTAATGCATATTCTTATAGATAATCTATACATATTTATATACTGTACTGTATTGTACTTAGTACTGTATATTGTATTTATATGTAATGCAGTTTTCATGTGAGAAAGATTAATCAACACACTAATGCATGATTATAAATATGGTATAATCAAAATTCTGAATTTCTCTGTTGGATCATCATTCTGTAGGAGAAAATCATTTGAGGTGACTTGAACCAGCATTCAAGTGATTCCCAGGCACTCGCTTTAACCCACTCGCCCATGAATAGAACAAAAGCAGCTGGTTCAAGTCGCCTCATTGCTTCAAATGAAATTAAATTGTATGTTCGATATAAAGACTGATGTGTTGGGAAAATACATTCACAAATACGTACACAGTCCAGACCTGAACTCTGTGGGACATTTCACTCTGAAAAGGCTTGCCAAGCTGTCAAAACCATTCACTAGAGTCACCGTGTCGCAATTAAGTGCCACAAAATGCAAGTCAGTTAAGTACACAAGATAAATGCTGCAATTTATTCACTCAATTATGTGAATGTCAATCTGCCTTGACTCTATGTAGTCCAGTTCGTGGAAACAGCAGAACCTTACTTAAGTGAGCAGCCAAGTAGAATTCCTATAAAAATATATAAATAAATAAATTCTTATTTTTCAGAGTCATGAAGTTTCTGCCATGTCACTGGTTCATGACATGGCAGAAAGTACAGTGGGTGACCTCACTCCACACTGTGGGGTCTCGGAGGAAGACAAACACAAACAAGAAGTGGCAGCTATGGAGCATTTCATAACCTTGGTTGGAGAAAAAGCAGGAAATGAAATGTTTAATTTGTTTATGGTATGTATAAATGCTGTTGTGATGAGAATATACTATGTAGTATCATTTTATGCTAAATATAATTTGTACATGAATGTGTGTGTAGCTTGTCGATGAAAGGAATCCTGTGGATGTTTTGCCATGGTCCCATAAGCCAAGAATCAATGCTGTCACCCCATTCATTTATATATTTACTGGCCAGACCTAGTGTTGCTTAACCTGCCTTTCTGAGTGAAATGTACATTATCCACAGCACCATGCTGATTTGTCATGTTTTGCATTTTAAGACAGTTGGTCATTGGAAAACCTTCCTTAAACATCTCTGTAAATTATGACCTATAATTCAATTTAAGTAGGTTTCCCAAATTTGGTCAATTTCTTGCCGACTTGCTGAAAAGTGAAAACCCTTTGGACTCTCTGATGGAAAGTCAAATTAGTTAGTTCCCCTAATCCCAAATCCACAAAAAAAAAAGATCTGCACGTTACAAAATTCAGAAGACGACTGAAACACTTCCTTTTTTTTATGGCGGGACTCCCCAGTGGATCCATAAAGCTATTGTGCTGAGATTGCCATGTACACACAAAAAAGTCACATCAGTTGCGGAACATTCTATTTGGCCTGCCGGGGACCAGAACCAGAACCTGGCCTCCCCTTACATTGGTGCAAGGTGCGGGTGACAATCCACCACCCCACTGGAAAAAATCTCCAGAAAGTCAGCAAAGCATTACAGACAACTGGAGGGTTCACGGAAAACAAAGCCTTAAAATCAACGGACAGCTCCGCAAAAAGTTGGAATTCGCCAACACCCCCAATTCCAGGTCCCTAAACACCAACCAGGGTAACTCGGGTGCATCCAACCCAGCGCACAACCCAGATCCCTGCAATCTGGGAAAACTAACACGCAAATCGGTCACTGCATGGTAAGGTCTAACCTTATCAGGAGGGTCGCAAAGAAGAGCTGTATGGAGAGAGCAAACCCCACAGGACTCAGGGTCGAAGGTGTCACTGACCAACAGGCAGAAGGAATTAATGCCACCACTTGGCATAGATGATAAGCAAACCTCAAACTCGCAAAGAGTGAGGATAGGTGTGGGGGAATATCCTTAGGACCACCAAACCTGCATGAGATTTCCAGGACCTGAAGGGGAAACCCAAGCAGGGTACCCAGGCACTGGGATTGCTGTGCTGGACCTAAAAGTAAGCCGACACAGCCTGGGCAACACGGGAGTGAAGCCTGACCTCGATACGCTGAGAGAAACAGTATTATATTCAAGGTTGCATAGTTTGACATATTGTTGCATTTTCCATTTATTTGGAGATATTATGCTGTGTGTATATATATATATATATATATATATATATATATATATATATATATATATATATATATATATATATATATATATATATATATATACATATACATATATATATATATATATATATATATATATATATATATATATATATATATATATATATATATATATATATATATATATATATATATATATATATATATATACAGTATATGTACTTTAGACTTGTAATGAGGTCCTCCCTAGGTCAAACTACTGACATTTTCAGAATGCAACCCCACAATAGTTGCCTAACTTCCAGGCATCTATTTACTGCTAGGTGAATAGGCATTAGGTGAAAGGAAACATGACCAACCTTTTCTGTCCCACCCAGAGATCGAACCCTGGATCCCCGATTGCGAGTCGGGAACATGGCCACTGTATTGCCCATGATTTGCCTCTCCAGGTGTTTATTCCTGTCATCCTACAGTTTAAGGACCTTGTTGGTACTGACAGCTTGGTATGCAAACTTGTTTAAATGTGTAACACCAGTTGTTGATGACATCTTGAGTAAAGAAACAAAAATTGATCTCATTCAGCCATCTGTGGTAAATACTAGTGTTTATTACAAGTTGATTGATCACCAATGGTCGTGCTGTGTGTGGTTACAGCTGGCCAGTTTCTTACCTGTAAAACAGAGGTGCATCGATACCAATATTTTATTAATCTATATAATTACTGTACTCCAATATGTACTATATTATAAAAGACTGATCCAGTACTTTGATACTGATATTTAATATTTTTGTCAGATATATATTTGAACTATACCGACCTATGTACAAAAGTAAATATCAACGTGCAGTATACTGTATTGGCTGAAATAGTACCAATACTAATACAACAAGAATGGTTAATATGTCTGATGATAATCCATTGGCACACCTCAAAAAATTAATATAAAATCCTCAAATATTTATATATTTATAATCCAATATATGTTTGTGTCCCCATGTACAACATTATGTACTGTCTTTAAATAAGTTACCATTTTCAGGAATATGAAGAACAGAAAACACCAGAGGCAAAGCTTGTAAAAGATTTGGATAAATTTGACATGATCTTGCAAGCTTTTGAGTATGAGACAAGTCAGGATCGAAAAGGATCACTGGAAGAATTTTTCAAGTCAACTGAAGGCCAATTTACCCACCCTAAGGTACAGCAGTGGATTGAAGAATTGTACAAACAAAGAAGTAAAACGCTTAATGAACCCGATGAATGCTCGTAATTTAACTAGTAATTGCTTTGTTGTTAAAGCAAACTGTGGTACTGTTTTGTATTCTATGACTCGAAAACCTTTGCTTTTTTTTTGTTTTTGTTTTTACGTAGGTATGTTTATTTTCCTTTTTATAATGAAATTTTTTCCAATCACTGTTTGGTATGTTTTCTAATAAGTGAAGAGATTGTAAAAGCCCATTGCTTAGCCATTTCAAAACAAGTAATAATCAATAAGATCATTACTTCAAGGATATTGGCTCTTGATAATTTTCTCATAGATGAAAAAGACCATAAATTGCTTGATTCTGATTCAGATGTGATTTTATTTTTACAAAGAATGACTCGACACATGGCTAAGAGAAAAGATTTCATCTAGTCCATGTCGATAAGAAAGATAAGCATATTGGCAAAAAATGTAATTTATTCACAATAGTGGTGTTCCTATAATTAAATGAAGTCATGACCTTTATTTTATTATTAATCCTATCAGATTTGTGGCAATCATTGGTGAAATTCAGCAAATATGTGTATACTGTACAATAGTTTTGTGCTGGTAAACTAATATAGGTCCCTGAAAATTGCACAACTAGCTGTTTTCTTGTCTTTATGAATAAATGAATTATGCAACTTGATCCTACAGTCACACCAGACTTCTACATAATAAAACTGCTGTTATTTAGCCACATCTACTTTAGCATCCAAGAAACAGCAACTAAACTAAAAACATTTTTAATAAAATTAACTTTTATACAAGTACAGTACTGTACAATATGGAGAAATACAAAGGATACTAGAATTACAAAGGGAATAAAGGAAGGGGGGAAAAAAGTTTGCATTGGTATCGGAAGAATACACCTCTTAAACTATTTTTGTCAAGAACAGAGTTCATAAGTCAAGTAAATTTACTCTGACATCATTTGTGCACTTTTGTAAATAGACCATTGGAAAACTTGCTAAAAGCCGAGTAGGTCACTGGAATACTTGATGAATGTAGTACAGTGCAGAAGAGGTTCCCAGAAGGCTTGTCCAAGGCAGGTTCAGTCATGGTCATTGTAAGGAACAGAACACGGAAGGCTTGGCACTTGATATGACATTTGTCTCCTGCAGTAGTAAATCCCAACTATAAAATCATAACATGTCCTACACGTTTATCAACTCACATTTACCAGTCGGCCTCAGTTATGACAACAATAAACACACATTATCAACATGGATATGAGGTAATAGACATGACTGACCTTAGCTAAGATAGCACTGGTGATGCTGACCAGAGCTTGCTCAATATTGGTCCCTGTCACGTCAGACACTTCGAGAAATTTAATACCAGCCTCGTCTGCCAGCTCCTTCCCTCTTTGCCATGTCACCTGCAGCATAGATAAGTTATTCATGTTTACTAATTGCTAACTACTTTTTCAGAATTCAGGAATTCAGAAAACCTTCAGATTTTCCAACTGAAAAGGATTATAATTTTTAAGTATGGTAGTGATACATCTTTCTACAAAACTTTTGAAGCACAGTATGTTCAGTAGTTTGAATTTTTTGCTACAAAAAAGCTACAAAAATTGTCCGAGTCAGGCCAGCTAACATGTCAGTTGCTTAATTGGTAAGGTATTAAAGTACTGTATAACCAATTCATTCTTTCTTTCCATAAAGATATTATTGATTAGAGCCTTATTGTTACAGTATAAGGTTTAAATAATAAGTTTTCATGACTTTCAAAATATCTCATAACCTAAAATGTATGCAGCCAACTCCACACACCCCATAAAACTGCATATTCTTAAATTACTGGTATCCATTAGACAGCATACAAGTGTGAAGTCTATCAGGGTTCCGCTTCATGATCAAGTCATGTGTTTAAGAAACTTCATAATATTTTCTTGACAAAAATTGATGTCATGCATGGTTCTTAGGTTGAGGCAATATTACAGAGAAAGTTTAAACTTCACACTCATTGCCAAAGCAGCAAAAATGCATTCATACAATTGGTTAAATTAGTACAGTATTCTATTTCTAAATTATAACAGAGTATATTGTTATGCTTTAAAAAAAATTGCTGCATCTGACTTAAACATTTTAGATACAAGTCTAAAAGAGACGGCTCAGACGTTGGCAAAAAATAAAAGTACTGAAAGCTTCTTTAAAATAAATATTTGTATTAATTGGCTCTAGGTTAATAATATAAATGTACTGGAGATAAAGGTGCACCTGCTTTTCAAATAAATGATTATTGTTTATCTTGATTTGTTCCACCTCTATACCTATGGCTTGAAGATGAACGAAAATGTGTTGATAAAGATCTATGCTTCCCATGTGTTTTAACAAGCCAAACATTTATCCTATGTGCAAAACATTTTGCCATTGACAGGGTTATAAATTACGTAACTGACTCATGCCACAAAAATGTATTATTTATTTTCAGACTGTAAAAAATAAAAGCATATATTCTGGCTCAACAAAAATATATTTTGGATACAAATGAATAAAGCAAATTCAAATTATATTTAATCTAAATATAATTTAATCTGGAAACAAGCCAAACTGGCTCTTTCACTATAATAGAGACAATAAGAGTAAAAGCATCATTAATAACCTGTCTATCATCCCCTTGGTAGTGTCCTTTGTTCCCAAGTAGCATCACCACCATCTTGCCGAATCCTCCATGCTCCAGTAGCCTCCATAACCTGTATAAAAATACCATAGTATAGTAAACATGGGTCATTAACATGTCCCCTGGTCTAGTTTAGAAACTCGCATAGAGTATTTCCTTTTCATTTCCAATTTGGTCCTTCTGTCTGGTCTCGTCTAATTACCTTAATGGATACAGACATTTTCTTACTGATGTGGTTATATTGTGGTTTTAGTTGTTTATCTGGTGGAGCCACTTGTGGGTTTGTGAAGGTATCTCGTTGAGATGGCTCCCAACATTTATGTCATATCAGCCGTAGAGTTCTTAAACCTAACAAAGAATAGTCAGGACCTGGCCCCCTCAAAGAGGTGCACAGAAAAATTACATTGTCACTTTGCCAGAGAAGACATCCAGAAAGTCGGCGAACTAAAACAGACAACTGGTGAGTTCTGAAGCCCACAATCCACCTAAGGAATTCTCCCAACTACTGTATGTAAAAAAACAAATTCCTCTCAGCTGGGGGACTAGCCTTGTCTTCTCACCTAGTAAGAACTTGTGTGTGTTTG